GGCATAAGTCGACACGACAAACAGGCACCGCTTTTTATGCCGAGAGGTACTGAGCTAGACTGAAATGGCGCAGAGGCGACGGTTCACTGGGATCCAATCCAGCTCTGGGGCTGAGTGTAACTCCCACGCCGCATATTCCACGAGTCATCGCTTCTGGGTCACCGGACACACGGAGAAAGAAGTGTGAGAGAGCTGAATTCATTCTGAGATGCAGAACCACGCTCGGGTCTTGTATGCGTGTTTCGGAGACAAAACATACATCAATTTTAATGGAGTACAAGGTTTCAGCAAGCATCGCCTGTCTGCCAATTTGACAGAATACGGACGTTACAAGCTCCTATATAGAAATGATCTCGTGGATTTAGAAAGGTGTTATTTCGTCTAATGTTTGTAGGCATCGAGGAGCATAAGGCCCTTCGGTCAGTCAAATGGCCCAGAGACGTTTGCTTGTGCAGTAGGAGGAGGTTGGGGAGGGACATCGGTGAACGCTGAACTACGCGGGAAAATGATACTTACCGGTTGCCCAGGCCGAGGAAGGCGGTTTGGTTGAGGTACTCCACCTTGAGCCTCAAAAGTCTGACCTACAAGGCAGTGGGAGGACGCAGGGTTTTGTCCAGGGACCCTGCTCGGAGCCGAAGACTCAACAGTCTGACCTGCTCAGCTGCAGGGGTTTGGCCTAACCCGAGGGCGGAGGTAATAAGGCATTACTGTCTCATTTCTGATGCGGCTGTGCACATCAAATGCCTTTTGAGCAGCACCGAGCTCTTTGGTTTTAAAAGTATTTTGGCCGTATTGGATAATGCATCGGCGGTTACGGTCAACCGATGGGCGATCGGAGTGTGCAGTTTTTGGGGCCGACCTTTTCTAACCCGTCCTTCCTCGGGGGGGGAGGCGGTATCACCGATCCAGAAATATGGACATGCTGGTCGCCTGGGGAAAACATCTTACTGCCTTCGCACTCCTGTCGCAAAGGACAGTACGAAATTACCCCCAAACCGCCTCGTAGCAAGAGTACTCGTAGTACGGGGTCTCGCTGCTTTTGGTCTGGCTGATCCCCTTTGGCCTTCCTGGCATGGTTGCACCTTGTGGAACGAAGTTCCAACCAGTGTAGTCCGCGGGATCATTGCAGCACTCAAGCCCAAACACCACGTCAAGGTGGCAGCTGTAGGTCATGTCAGACAGACGATCTGAAACATTCTCAAATATTCAGACACAGAAGTCAACGAATTTGCAACAAAATAATTCAAAACTGGGGTTGTTGTGTAGCAGGCACTTTGATTTAAAGAACGACTAAGCATGATGGGCTGCAGTGGCTCGACCTGTGCCACAACCGCCAAAACCTCGCCTTCGCCTCTCTCTTAGAATGGCACTAACTGCAATGTAGAGGATGTGCAATTTGGAAAAAGGGTGTGAGATATGAGTCAGGGTGCTTCTGGTGTGGCTTGCTTTCCATTACTGAGCCCCATGGCCCACGGTGCTTATATAGAAATCTTGCAGTAACTAATGGCTAGCCAATCTCATTGGCTTCCCTGCTGGAGTTTCTTTCCAGATTGTCTGATTAAGCTTTTGGATGTGGATGCACTTGAAATTGCCTGCAGTAGGTTAGCATAAGGTCGTTCCCTTAGGGCCCTACATACATTTACAAAAATTTTTGTGTTTGGTAGTGGAGTATCGGCACATATAACTTTCCTATCGCCGATAATGGTGACCAGGGTGTCAACCTTATTCAACAAAACGCTCTCAAAGTACTCAGTATCAGGTTCCTTCCCCTTTCACGTACGCGCAACGTATCCCAAATTTAGAATGAACAGTATGTATCTTCTGTTTCTGAACAACACGGAAGTGGTGGAGTCATTACGTGATGCTTCAACATCCTGAATGGATCACGTCTCCTTTGATGGATGCTCTGAATCCTCTCGGAATCAATCATGGAAGAATCCTTGGCTCCGACTTTTGGCGCTAGCAAGTGGAAAACACAAACCCAGGATTCCAACTGAATAGACATTTAAGCCACTCACAGTGTATGGCTGCTGCCCAATGGGCCATAAGGCTCGTCCTTCTCTAAATGAAGCGATTAACATTTGGCACCTTTCGTAGTTACTACTGTGTTATGCTTTCATTCAACCCCACACGGAGTGTAGCGTCCGCAGTTTAAACAAAGTTTAGTCTAAAGAAAAAATTTGCGCTTCCAAAGGCAGTAAAGGTGCTGACATGGATGGAAAGATAAAGCAGGATTTCGGCTGTCTGGAGACAGAATTCAATCAGGGTGTACACACTGGCCACTGACCAGTCTGTACGTAAACTAGGCCAGTCGATACATTGTAAGAACGGGTTAGATAACTCAGGGCATTCCAAGAGGCTAGAGAAAACTGACTGCACAGTTAAACTCAATAAACGCATCTATTTTTTTAGTAGCGATGAAATTTGAAGGACTACCAAAAATTGTAAGCAGCCCTCCACTCACCACCTTCGTATAAATATGTGAGGAGTTTTTCCTTGTCGACTATGACACCAGACGCGGAGCACGCGCAGAGAATAATATCTCGGCGAGCATCGTCCGTTTGGAATAAGAAGTGAATATGTGATAATTTTTCCAAACCCTAAAGGTTTGGGGCGCAACCACCCAATTTTCGTCTATATTCCAGTTGATCTTTTTTCCCTTTTTTCTATCAGCAGGAATAGCCCATCACATTCGTTGCACTAAAAACCACGTGCTGTACAATGGTTTGAGCATGCACGTTTCTCTAGAAAATTGTTGTGTCTGGTCCAAGTCACAGTTGCTGTTTCTGTGGGGGCCTACTCATCCGCATAGGTTTCTGAAAGCTCCTCAGAGAAGGGAAGAAAAACTATCTAGTTTGACGCCAGAGAACCTAGGAAGTCCTCAGATAAGTATGTAACTTGGAAGCCGATGAGCCAAAGCACCATCAGCCCCACAAGCGGATTCGACTTTATTCTCATTACAAACCTGATTTTAAAGATTTAAATTTAAGGAGTGCATATAAGCATTAGGAACCTCTAAATGCTAGAGATCATAGCATAACAGATAACAAAAGACAACAAAAACAACTACATAATCCCTCTAAAATGAGGAGAGACCATTTAGACAAAAATGTTTGTTGGTATGGTAGTCATTCAGGCACATTTAATCGAACTTCTGAGATTCTTCCCCATGCTGATCTACAAAGCATCCCTTGCTATTAGGCGAAGGTTTTTAATCGGTCCGGCACACGGAAGACCATCCAAAAACGCTTACCGTGGAATTATGCCACGCTGGGACGCATCCTCGGATATTCCTTGCATTGTGAAGGACTTGCCACAACCTGTTTGTCCATAGGCGAATATTGTACCATTGTATCCTTCCGTAACACCTTCCACCAGTGGATAGCATATATCACTGTAGATTTGTTCTGTTGTTGAGCTTATGTCGAAGGCACCATCGAAAAAAAAGTTCTTCGGAGGAAACTTTTTGTCCGAAGGGTGCTTAATTGAGCACTGTCCAGTTTCCGCGACAATATCGATGATATTTTTGCACTCTAACTCCAGTTCTCGCGTGTTAAGTGGACGGCATCGAACGATAACTCTTACTGATTCTGCAGCCATCGTCCTCTGAACTATTTATAGAAACTACCTTCACATTTTTGAAGCCATCAATTTTATCGTTTGTTAAAGCACATTTCATAGAATTTAAATTCGCAGAAGTTTTAAAGTCGGGCACAGGTTTCTATAGGTTCAGTTTTTATATATTGAAACAACGTTTACAGTTGGCTGACGCACCAATAGGAGGCAAAAACTAGGAATGTATGACTGAAGACCAAAGAGACAAGCACGTCCTACTACTTGCGACGGCGGGCATTATCAGGGTTAGCTTTAAATAGTCTTGTGTGACAAATTACAAACCAGAGTAGTTTCTGGACATAAATGGAACGAGACAGCTAGTGTCTGCGGGGAGATCGGTTCTAGAGGAGATACAACTATGTGGTGTAGATGCAGCCAATTGTTGGGTGGTCCCCGATTGCCCTTTCTGTACTTCGTATGTGGAAGTGGTGTGCATGGTAGATACTACTTACGAAGCATGACACTTGGTGGGCGATTGAAGAGACATGAGTTGGCGGCTGGTGGAGGGGTGGTGTGATTCCTCTTGTTTGGGATTTTCACTCAGAGTAGAACGTCAATGGGGGAGTCAGATCCTATCCCTGTTTAGTCAATGTTCCTGTGCTGGAAGAGTTCGGAACTGTAACGTGGATACTGCTACTGTATGACGGAAAGAAAAAACTGCCCACATATGTAGAAATGCTAGAGTCTATGGATGCATTTCACATCCTGGAAGCCAGTGGAGAGAAACGGATGCAGCTACGAGAATTTTCTGTTGGTGGGATATTCTCCATGGCACTTCGACATATTTTTGTGCATTTGTTGACGCCTCGAAGCACAATGCATTTTTCCGCATAACCCCTGCGGTTGAAATCAAAAATTTCACATCAAAATGTTGCACTTCTTTGTGTGTATGCTCAATCTAAAAATCCCCATCATATGCCGTCATTTTTGAGGTTTGTTTTAATCGATCTCTTTTAAAATTATTGGCGCACAGTTGGCTTTGAACTTCGTCTGCTATGGCTTCGGAAGAGGTTTTCGTCGTGAAACTTGTGGGTGTATCGTTTTCATCCTTCCTTAAATCAACACATGGAGGATAAATTTGTGGTATTCGTGCGTTCACCCAGTAATCAAAGCACCAACGCCATTTTGCGTTACGAATGGGTGTACTACAAATGCAGCAGGCGCCCTCCAAGACCAACGGAAATCCGTGGAATCCGAAAAAACCAGTAAGCCGAGCCCAATTTCTAATTAAAAAACACGCGAAGCGCCAGCTGCCCAGTGCTGTTTTGTCTACGGAGGCAAAGGAACTAACTGGCAATGACCTCTTATTTTCTTGAACAAAAACAAAAATTGTCAAAGTTTCCGTAAGATCGGCTTCCAATTAATCGACGTCTAGTCGAAGGGCACATGCAAGGCCCTGCTGAAATATGGAACGCCATCATGTGAGACGCGGCAGTTTTTGGTGGATGAATTCGGGAAGATTCTTACCACTAAGGATACACACAACCACCACCGGAAGTTTCGACCGGCTATGTTGAGTAGGTGCCGCATGGTTGGGTTTTAATGTAGTAGATGATATGCCTTAGGCCCTGGCAAAACTTCGGCAGACCGGACGTGTCCTTGTGTGTCAGGCAGAGGAAGGTCACTGTAGCCGTATATGTTTCTCATGATGGCAGCAGATAGCGTTATTCCGACGTTTTTCAGATGTAGTAAATATAGACGGAAAGCATGCAACAAAACGCCTTGGGTAAGCTTTTTTAAGGCATCTAATATTCGACATGTAGGTACGAACTGTACACATTCTTGATAACGGAAGGCATCGGAATCAGGCGTCCGGTTGTGTGTGTTTGTAGAGAACGGGTAGTTTGCTCGCATGCAGCTTCTGCGTCGCAACGATCCTCAATTTATTTACTATGTTACGGCCCGCTGGTTGTACATCACCCGAAAATGGGCCATACACGCACAGTCCGGTAATGTGACAAACAACTGATTGAAGAATGCGAACGGCCGCATACACCTGCTCTCTGTATTTCGAGGTCAGTCCATTCCGAGCAGTAAGAACTATTCATCACTGACTTTTTCTTAGCTTGCGTTCCAGTCCTTCAACGATGGCTGTCGGATTCCAACCTACCGGAAAAAGGTGTACCCCTTATATTGTTCCAAAACCACCGCCGACAGCTTTCGATGGCCTTCGTAAACAACTGAAGCGAGTGATGGATTAGATTCAGAGGCTGGAATTCAGAAGGGCGGTTGATTGTCCTGGGACAAATCCTGTCGCGTCAAGCCACAAAGCCTGCAACCGACGACCTGCCGTTGGTGGTCGAGGATGCGGCGTGGAAACGCTGACTTGGGCTTTTGTGTGCTCTGTGACTGGCTGACTACTACCAGTGAACGCTGGTGTGCAACGGGTCGCGTGTCAAATCACGCCGACTGTTGTGACGGTGAACTTAGCCTACTGTGTGGTGGTGCTCTTCAGGCTTTCCAAAAGACGAGTCCACATGAAAATAAATTGCTTTTGGTTCCTAGCTCCGGGCCCAACCGGAAAACGCAGAGGTGTGCTTGCTACCTGGTCCGCAAAGAGGGCGTCTCATGATGTTGATCTGGACCGAAGCACAGAGACCCAGCACAGCGTGTCCCGGAAGTCTGTGTCCGTCCATGTTTTCGGGTCCACAGAGGAATTACTCGACAGCCGTGAGTCAACGTCTGACAAGTGTGACTAACGCCAGCTAGATGAAGGTGACGAAGATGACTTCGTGCGACTAATCGGCTCCGAAAAGCTCGTCTGTCAATGAGACCCTCTGCAGTTCATGTAAGTCTCGTTTTTCTTGAGAGGTGCAGCAAACAGCCATGCAAAATAACCGCTGAAGATGGCATTGTGAGAACAGGCATCTGCGACAACATAGTCGCTGCAGTGAATTTTGGGGTAATTATCTCTATCAGTTTGTCGGGCACCCGCCCGCCTTTTGGTGATATTTCGGTAACCTGAATCATATCGTCCTCTCGCTTCAGGACTTCAACGGCCAAATGAACACTCCTCAAAAGGAAGAAAAGTGCGCCTCCCAGAAGGACACATGTAAACTTCAAAACGACCAATATATCTGAAAATTTCAAGACGTCCATTTTGAACGTATTCTCCGCCACAGATGGATGGGTGCGCATCGTGTACCCCTAGCCGCCTGTTAGTCGTGTGCGCCGGTTAGGTTCGTTCAGCTGTCTGGTATGATCGACGTAGGTTCTATGTGGCTAGTTAGTTAGGCATCGTGTACCCCTAGCCGCATGCTAGTCGTGTGTGTCAGTTAGGTTCGTTCAGCTGTCCGCTATGAACGACGTATGTTCCATGTTCCTAATCGATGGACCTCGAGTTCTTCCTAGTATACTCCGCAACCTAAAATGGAAAACTCTGGTTTTTGCCAGCTAACGTGCACGACGTTTAGCAAATAATTAACATGCACTACGGAATATTTACTGGCAACAAAGAATCATCGACCAAAATTTGTTTGCACGAATGCACGTACGCATATTCTGCATCTCCAAAGACTATTTGGTTCTTGAATGTTGAGGAAATAATTTCCGGTGGAAAAATACACGAAAGTGACGTTTACTGTGAATGAGTCAACTGTTTCCACAATTCGAGATTTTTTAGCATCTAGCAACGTATTCAAATTAGGTGGTATTTGTTGACCTTGATCATTCGCTCACTTAAACAAATCGCAATAGTAGATGGTTTTCAAAAATACAGGAGCATATTAATTATACATAGACATCCTACACCATGAAGTGGCAATCTGAAAATGCCGTAGATTTCGAGAAATCAATCCAATTGTGCGAATAGCCAGTGGCGGTATATTTTGACACGACTTGAATATTTCCGAGCATATTAGGTTACCTTTCTCATTCCGGGGAGCCATAAAATCATGCGGTATTGTATCGCTGGCGCCGAAATAGCGAGGATACCTAACAGTATGATTGGCATGCTGCGGGAAGTTCCGCGGGAGAGGCCGATAACTTCGATAGCCTTCTTCGTGGAGTAGAGAAACTTCACAGACGGTGAAAGAACAAATTCCAAAATTCAAAGTAGTGCACTGTGCAATGGCGCGAATAAGGTAAGGCGTTTTCTGCGGAATAAATGGAAGTAATATATGGCAGGCTTCGAGTCGAAAAGTGGAATTCTTTCTGAAGGCAAACGGGGAAGTTGGTGGTCCAGGGGCATAATCCTAAACGGCTTCTAAAACGAACCAAGATCACTGCGCTAGAAATTTACCTCATCAGGCCAAAGTAACGCGATATAAACAGGCAGGAAAAGATCACGAGGAAATTATGACTGAAAGAGGATAGCGTTGGTCCCAGAACCATGCTATCGGGACTTTACTGCAGACGTAACAGTCCGATGAATTAAAAAAAAACAGGTACCCGAGGGGTTCGGTTAGGAATTTAGTCAAGAAAACACGTAGGTGATAAAACCCTGACTCGCAAGGGTCCCACTAAGCAGGGCTGAAAACCACGGATATCTTTCTCAAAAGCGGAGGAAGTTAAGTGAATTTGCACATGGTGCAATTGTCGCCTTCGGCGGCTTAGGGAACGTCCACGAGTAAGGGCGTTAGTAACAAACGGAAGTAGCGAAAGGTGGATTTCAGTGGCGCTTCAACTGAACTTTCTTCACCACAGTCCTATTATTCTATTATCACTTCTACGTGAACATCTATGAATGCCTTACCCGCGCCCTGGTTTGTGGAAATGTTAGCTAGGAGAATCCCGTAGTGGCAGGAGAAAGGGCGACTTTTTACTCGCGGTTTGAATACGTTGAGAAAGTTGTTTTAAAGAGACCCGTGTGCGAGATGAAAGCTGTGCCTTGTTTTGCTTTACTTAGCATTTGATTACGGATGATGTAACACGATCCATCAGGGTTTCTTCCCCTGCTCTAGAGATCAGGTTTACGTTGGGATAAGGCGTTTACATCCTTCAGCACCTGGCTCGATAATTCGCTCTCCGGGCACTGCATGAGAAGCTCAGTGCGCTGAGCTTGGCATTTTTCCCTTGTAAGAACAAGGTGCGGGCTCAAATTTACCCAACCCTGTTTCAGTTGTGCCTTAGATTTTCCATGGATTTGCGGAGAAATCTTCTGCACCGTTGTTTTCAGATTCGTGGTTGCAAAATAAAACCCTTTGACGCTCATTCTGATTCAAACATTTACCTGATTCGACGACTCACCAAGTTCCACAAAGCGTGAGAAGTGTCAAGACGAGCCTGGTGATTTTATCTTTCTTCACGTTTGAGTGTGTGAGTAAGGTGATTATGGACGATATGCAAAGCTTGCAAGGCTAGCCATGATCCAACGTGGAGTTCTTCTTTGGTCACCATAGATCTCGGGTTTATGGGAAGTTGGAAGGGGTGGGAGGAAGTTAAATGCGTTAAAACCGTCTAAAAGTTTGGCCTCAAGATGGTTCCCCCGTTTTGCTTATATTGGGCCTGCCTTGAGACGGAAGTGTCCAACTGTAAGTCGCGGGGTGATTTGAAGTTGTCCACTTTATAACGCGTTGCATCGTAAGCTGGTGAGATTACCAGGTTTCCGGCCGCCGAGCGATAAGCGATCCTTGTTTTTGTAATTTAACGGAACAGTAGTTGGCCTCATTGGCTAACTAACGGGGGCATCCGGTAGAAATTTTCGGCCGCATTAAACCATGCTTCCTCCAGGCTCATTGGGGCTTAACTGGACTCAACGAAATGAAGGCGTTCTTCCTGTCCGAGAGCCTTATCCGCGAAGAACAATTGGGTTAGAGTACTCTTGTATTTGTTTCCTGACAAGATTGGATTCGACGGAGGTTTTTTAACTCAGGAAAAGGTTGCAACGTTTTCCCTCGGTTACCACATTCGTGCCATTCGTAAGTTTTCTGCTTCGGTTCCCCTGAGTCACCGTACTTGATTGCTAGATGTTTAATTTTCCTGGCGAGCCTAATTACCATGACCCGTTTCTGCCTTCATTTGGCACATTTAAGATTGACATCGCTTCCGCAACTTACAAAATGCCATCGCGCCTTCCATTGTAAATGTCGTAGTTCGGTCGTTGTATAGAACGGCATCATGTGAAGCGAGGTAGTTTGCGGCCGATGAATTTGGCAGTGTCCTTACAACTAGGGGCGTACACCACTACATCCAGGATCGCCAACCATCTCTGTTGGGCGAGTGACGCATTATTGGGTCCCATTTTGGCAGATAATAGGTCTTCGCCTATGATAAGCTTTCAGGAGACCGGAAGGGTGCTTTATCTGCAGTCGTGAGAAGGTCACCATAGCCACTTACGACGCTCCAGCGAGCAGCAGATAGCGCCGTTTTTTCGCTTCCCAGATGTAGCAAAAATCGACGGAGCGCACGCGAAAAACCGCTGACCACGGATAACGGGCTTCCGATCATAATTTCCTTCGCGCGCCCATGCAAAAACCTGTCAGCTTATTCAGGAAAGTGATTGTCGATCAGTAGCATGTGGAGGGTTTTGCCATAGACAAGTTGTCTTCAAATCCTCATTTAGCTAACCCTAGGGAGTTGCAAGAATGAAAAGCAAGCTCGCCTGTGCACCAAACAGAGCCGTGTGGCATGTTCGCTGAATCCGAAAACGCCAGAGACCTCAAAAGTACCTAAACACGTTAGCACAGTTGGTTGCATCCTTCTTGAAACTTCAAGTCCAGAGGAGTTAGATAGTTGCATCGCTCCAAGATATGCCATACTCTGGGGTGGGTAATTTTAAGACAACAGACAATCATGATTATAATAAGACAATTAATGATCCTATATTTGGAAAGCACTTTGAATGAATGGCGTAGGTAGACTTGTGAGCCAATGACGTGAAGTACAAACCCTGCAACAGGTTTTGGGTGACAGGAGCGATATTGGTGACTTTAACTGCCTAAAGAGGAATCAACGCTACTGCAGAATATTGCGGTGCTACACCAAATAACAGTCAAACAACTGTTGTATGATTTGACGAACTCGTTTGGGTCTCTTTTTTAAGCCGTTTACACGGTTTCGATA